AGAATATTTGGAGAATTTTAAAAATAAGGCTAAGAAGAATTCAAAGAAAAATTAGTATTCCCTCATTACTAAATAAGATTTACCTATTTTTTTTTAAGTTAATGTTCTCTGCTCTTGTGAGAAAAGCTTGTTTCTATCAAAGCCAATTAGTTCAGCAAGATTCATATTTACTGAAGCTTCTCCTTCCCCCGGCACACATTAGCCAGTTATGTCAGATTGTAAATCTGAGCTCCAACAAGTGGGATGAGACACAGTTACTGCCCATATCAGGGATAAGAATGGATGTCACCTTGGGTGAGGGTGCCTAGTTTGGGGCTTGGTGTACCCCTTTTACAAAAATAATTTTCTTGCCAAGCTACTTTCTCTTTGTTTGTTTTTTTGTGTGTGTGTCTTCCTTAGCATGATACCCACATTATTCATTGTTTCTAATATTAATAACATTTTGTGATTCACTTGAAAGGCAAGATATTTATGTTTTGTTAAAATAATTTTTTATGTTTACATTTCAGCTTTTATCTTCTCACGGAATTGTCTTAACAAAGTCAAGATTCATTGAAGTATCTGTGTTGAAGACTTTTAAATGACCATCGTCTATGCAACTATTTCAATACATTGAATTCTCTATGCATTTGTAACTAGAAGTATGTAGAGCTGAGTAATTTGAACTTTACATGTGGAAAAAATGTAACAGTGCTAAAGGCATGTAAGTTTATTACATGGAAAAAGAGCATAAAGTGCTGTTGCTTCACACAGGGCTTCCTCACATCTGTGTACGCCTAGAGGAAGGACACTGACAGCAGCTGCAGCCAGAGACAGCCTGAGCAATGGTCACGGAAGGCTGGAGCACAGTGACCTAACTTCTTTACCCTGGACGAGGCTAACTAACTTGTGCCTGGGGACCATGGATAAATGCCATGCAAACCCATAAATGCCTGGCAGTACCCTGGATGAGAAAGAAGAACAAGTCACTGAGCTTGTGACTCACGGGTAGCTAGTAAGGAAACTCCTCCTATCCGCAAAGTTGTACTTAACGGTGATTGTTTAGCAACGACTGATACAAATGAAGGAATCTTTTCACGCTGTACTGGGACTTCTTACAATTTTTGTTTAGTTCCAATAACAACTGACTCCAGAAAGCAACTGGAACCTGCTTAAAATGGGTAACGCTGGCTCTTCAGAGGGCCTGGCCACCTTCCAGAGCAGGGTTTCCCTACATGTGTGGTATAATGCTGACCTCTTAGAGTCTTCAAGACTTTTAGGCTTGAAAAGCTTTCTGGGAAAACTGTCATCTAGACCATATGAAAAGCTGGTATAATCCTGTGTGACTTTTTGTTAATGCATAAGCTCCACTTGTACATAATGGTTTTTATAACAAACATGGGTCCTGCACTTGGAAGAGATTTAACATTTTTGTCGCCAGTGATGTAGACTTATTCTACTAAGCCAGAAACTCTAGATTTTCCTTTAGAAGTAGAAGTTAAATTAATACATAATAGGCTTCTATCTAGTTCTTCTGTGGAATGAGGCTAGTTGTTTCTGGATCTTGTCTATGTATAGATGCTTCTTGTACTGTGCAAGCCTTGTATGGATTGGTAGACATTGACTTTTTATAAGTCTGTGAGTCACTGTTGGAAACATAACTGAAGCATAATGTTAAAAACATAAGCAAAATCATTCTGTGTAACTTAAAAACTATTTTGTAAGACGTGTAATAATGTCATGCCTGTAAGATAAGAGCTTGTTGCTAGGTAGCTATGATAAGAGATAGGCCTCAGAGGCAAGATCTGATGTGTTCAGGGATGGTCACAAGACAGCTCAGACAAAAGCTAAGACCAAGACAGGCTTTTATTTGTAGTTCGAAGTTTCTGTCCCCACAGCAGCTCCTTTATAAACACTCTGAGGTTTATATTAATTACAAATGCTTGGCCGATAACTCAGGCTTGTTACTAGCTAACTCTTACATTTCAACTTAACTTACATTCCTGATTTACTCTCATCCATGTGGTGGTGCCTTTATTAATATGGCATGTTCATCTCCTGGTCTCTCTGCATCTGGCTGGCGACTCTTCTCTCTGCCCTTCTCCTTCTCATCATTCTTAGATTGGTCACCCCACCTATACTTCCTGCCCGGCTACTGGCCAATCAACATTTTATTAAATCAATTTGAGTGTCAAATCTTTACAGTGTACAAGAGGATTATTCCATAGCAGATATGCTGTAAGTAACTAACCCCAAGGTGACATTGATAGGCTAATGAACCAGCCCCAAGATTTGGACCCCGATAGCACAAAGCTACTGCTCAGTGACATATACAGAAAGTGAAACTTTGAAAATGGTCTCTAGGATTGCCCCACTCTGATCACAAGACATGGCTTCTGCAGCCTCAGTGTTGATTCTCAGTGGCAAAAGGACTCTGTGTGTTTTTAATGGCCTCTGTGCCTCCCTGATTTCAGTGACCTTGGAACTTCCAGCACCATCACTGGGCACACACATGCCTGCCTGGAGTGCTAGCTGCTGGCTGGACACTCTCAAGGACCTTCTGGACCTCCACCATGCTATCTTCCTGGCCTCTCATAGAACTTCATGGCAGACATGGGTTGAGCTTGCAAGCTTCTGAGGCATTCCCCAGTGAAACCTGCAGCAGCACTTTCTGCCCAACCACTATTCCCGGCTTGCTTGGTGTGATCTCTGTTTAACTTGTATATTAGCATCGAATTATTAGGAATGTTTGTGTGAATAAACCGAGCACTTTCCAAAGTCAACTCTTGTGTGGTCTTTCTCACTGTGGAGCTCCTCATCACCCACAGGCCATGCTTTCTACACTTCATTTTTGAATTACTATCATTCTTGTTGGTTATGTTTTTGTGAAGCTTTATAGCTGTCAGAATTCTACAGTAGTTCTCTGAAGAGAGAGAACTCAAACAACATGTTTAGGGTACTAAGACATTACCCACAGAATGAGGAGAAAGGACCCCAGGTATCCCTAATCTAAGAGCTACTCCTTCTATATGTCTTGAAGATCAATTAAAATTGTGCCTAAAGGGTTTACTGACACTAACCCTTTATTATCTATCATTCCTCCTGTTCAACATAGGATCAAATGAGACCCTGGCTACTATCAGGTCCTAAGGAAACTTCATTTCCCTCAATTCCAAAAAGCAGAAGGGACAAACAGCTGTCTGTGATACCAATTAGCTCATGCTGGCCTCCAGGCTTTCTTGGTGTCACAAAAACATGCCTCACATTTTGAAACCCATTGCTAGCATCCTAGCTCTTCTTACCTCCTCCCTTACCTTAACACCCTCCCCCCAGGTCTCACCCCCACCCCAGCTACTCATTCTCCTTTTAACACTGCTATTTGTGATGTGCTGGCTCTGTCCGTCCATCCCCTCAGGCTCTCCCTCTTTTTTCTCCCTCTCCTTCTCTCTGCTCTCCAGCATTCTTCCACATGGATGTCTCTCTCTCTCTCTCTCTCTCTCTCTCTCTCTCTCTCTCTCTCTCTCTCTGATCTGTGCCGCCTTCTCTCGTGGCCAGGTGAAACCTGCTGGCCACATTTAGTCTACTTTTTATCCCCCTGTTCTGGACTGTTCCAGATGCCCCTGCCTGTTCTCTCTCTCCTATCTACAATGAAAGCCTCCCCCTCAACTGCTCATACCATAGAGCAGTTACCAGGGTCAGTAGAAAACAAGCCATCAGGGGCTTAATCATGTCCTCAGAGAACATTGTACAGAGACAAGGTTGAAAACTGTCAGGATTGAAATGGAGTCACACTGGGCAGAGTTGCGGCTGTTTGTAATCCCATGGTTTGGGAGGCTGAAACAAGAGGAACAACAGTTTGAGGTCAGCCTAGGTTTCACAGCCAGGCCCTTTCTCAAACCAACAGGATCGAGCTCTAGCCTTCGGAAAGAAACTAAACCCAAGAGTTGTGCAGAAATGGTTCCTGGCATGGAACCTGGCACTACGGGAGTGTATTTTGACCTTGAGTCCTGCTTGTATTCTCTTCCCGATTTTGTTTTCAGTCACAGGCATATTTCATCTCAAGACTGAGGAGTTAAGGCAAAGAGTGGGAGAATGTAACCCATCGACCTCCCAGGAACAGACATTTCAAGGAGAGGCTTGTTGGTGGTCAAACTGTTGAAACAAAGGGCTCTAAGCAATTAGACCCCCTCTGGCATTCTCCTGCAGGGAGAGGAAACAGCTGAAGCCCTGGGGGCATCCGGAACAGGAATTTGTCTCCTGGAGAAAGATTTTTGCAGCTTGCACAATGACCTTAACCTCACAGCAGACTGACCTGGGAGCTGTACACAGGTGGGCGGGGAATCACTCTGCGTTACTGTTTAGTTATGTGAATCCCCTGCTCTGTGTTTGCACCCTACCCTCTTTGTCAGTCTTTCCAGGGCCACAGTGAACAAATCTTCCTTCTCTGATTTTCACTATTAGTTTGGCTCTGTAACCCCTGAATCTGGCAACAATGTACCTAGACAGCTCACAGCAGCCTGGGCAGGCCTGCCTCTGTTGCTCACACCTGCTGCACCAACATCCGTGCCATTAGAGCCTGGGCTGGTCGTTTTAGCTTCGAATTCCTAGCATCCATCCAAGTGCCCAGCACATGGGATCCTCAGGTACATGTACTCTCCACCATGAAAAAGAAGCACCGTTTCTTCCGTTGTGAGAGAAAGGTGGGTTCAGTGATGTATCCCCCCCACCCGTGACAGCTGGGAAGTGGTTCCACATCACCGTTGTGGCTGGCCTGGGATTGCAGACTTCGTGCACTAATGGTCTTATCACAAGTTAGGGTCTAATTTAGCCCTGACTAAACAAACAACAGACTGTAGTAACAGAAGTAGTCAGAAGCCGGCCCCAGCAGTGCCTGAAGCCAGGGAGGCCTCCCAGCCCCCACCTCAGGCAACTTGCGTCTGGACTCCAGCCCACAATTTCTCCGGAGCTCCGGATTGGTCCTCAGAGGCACAGAGCTGTGTGAGAGCCTGTATAAATTCCTCAGAGGGAAAGGCTGCCCCAGACAGTGTTGAAGTTTCCAGAGACCTGTACAGCTGTTGAGAAGTTCGCGTCCAAGACTGAGGACCTAAGCCGCTTGCCAAAATGTGTAAGGGACTGGCAGCGCTGCCGCACTCCTGCCTGGAAAGGTGAGACCCGAACTTCTTCAGTGTAAGAGATAAAGATGTGATGAGCCTTTACTCAAGGGTGGATCCCCGGAGGCACCGTGGGATGAGGTCACAGGAATGAAATAGCTGTTTGGTGATAGACTTGGCATCGTCACATCTGTAGCAGTACAGAGATTTGGGGGGAAAAAAACTGCCCTGGGGATCCAACAGGAGAGAATTAATGTGTCATTTAGTTAGCACACAATGTCATTTCCTCCCAGAAGATTCTGTAGGGGTGTGTGTGTGTGTGTTTAAAAGGTAGCTTCCAACATTGAAGCATAAAATTATCTGAGTTTGAATTTTGGCTCCCCTAATTATGACTTGTGTAACTTTGAGCCGTTTCTTTAACCTCTTGCTTTGCTTATCTGTAAAGTAGAGGGTAGGCAGCATATCTACCTCACAGGCTGATGTGGGGAACCCAGTAAGCGCTCATGTGTGCAGTGCTCAGAAAAAAGTCAGACACAATAGAACTGTGGGAAGAATGACCTTTATTCCTGGCTAGAGATCAGAGCTGCAGCCTCTGCAGGGTTTACAGTGGGACAGAGGGAGCTTCTCATTTTCCTCAACTTCATTAGCTAGAAGTAGTTGGATTGCTGGGCAAAAGACAAATTCCTGGGATGCAAGGTTTGCTTTTTATCTAGAGGTTCTCGGACACATAGTTGTCCTGGACTGTACTATCTAGTCTGCAAAGAATCCTACATCCAGAATAAACATCTTACTAAAAATGACATCGTAGCCCTGTGATCTGGGTGGGTAGCCGGGTTCTGCTCTTTTAGGAAATGGGTCTGGTTAGATGTATATTGACCCTCAATCATTAAAGGAAGTAAAAATGACTCTCATACAGCCTACTTCAGTTCCTAAGGGCAGTGGTGATTTTTGTCTGAGACGGTCATATTGTTTCATGGTCCATCAAGGATGTTTGCCTTTTTAAAACTTCACGTTTCTCTTGGTGCTTTCCATCATAGCAATACATTTGAAGTGACTGAAAAATAAGATAAGGCATTACAGCATATTCCCCGGAGTCAGAAGCACACTAGTTTTAAACTGGTGAACACAGGAGAAACCTGTAGCAGTGGAGTGTGTAGTAGCTGGCTGGTAACTCAGTAGTCCATTATTCATTGGGCAGGGGTGGGGGTGTGGATTGGGAGGGGTGGAGGTGGCTGGGGGTAGGCTGGGGGGTGGAGAGTGGGACGTAGAGCTGTGAAGCAGCCCAACTTCTTTGAAGAGCAGGTGATGCATCTTGCTTTTCTCTTTAGCTGTGAGAGTCGCACATTGACTGTGCACAGTGTGGATAGATGCCTTTAGGCCGCTTGGTATTGGCAGTTGAGCTATCTTCCTTGATCACAACGGTGAACAGGTGATGCCGCTACTGTGACGGCCTGCAGGAGTCTGGCCATCTGGACATTGCTACTCGCCTTGCCCTGTGTTTTTATGCAATGCACAAGATTCACAGAGATACAGTGATGGGATTTTTGCAGTTATTTCTATTACTGTCGTGTATTAGATTCATTATCAACTTTAGAATTTATTTATATTCACATTTGTTATTTATCCACTTTATTTCTAGCTGTTCGAAGCCCACTGTGGTGGATAGGCTAGTGACATAATTGAGCATTTTGCAGAATTCGTAATGTTAAGAATACAGTAAGCTAATAATGTTGGAGGAGGTTACCCAGAAATTGTGGATTCTTCCTGATGAAGCAATCTCAGGTATTTCAAGCCTGTATACACTCCTTAGATGATGACAAGCCATACCCTGCACACAGGACAGTGTCCCCATCCATGTAGGAAGGCAAATGAGGATGCGTATTACTGAGTGCTATAGTCCAGTGGAGAGAAATAAAATATCAAGTACTAGAAGTACAAAATGGGGACCCGGTTGGGCCTCAGAGCTTTCAATCGTTGGAGAGGACTTCACAGGGAGTTAAGAAAATGATGCTTAAACTAATCTTACAGGGCAGAAGAGCCAGGCACATATGAGTAGGAGGAAGGGATCTGAGGAAAGTCTTCAAGGCCAAGGCGACAGCTGCCTGTGCAGACGTGAATGTAACCGAAAGTTTGGTCAGTGTTAATGCAATCTGTACCAAGTCTCAGGCAAGAAAGGAAGGAAACCTCCAAGTTTTCACTCATCTTTGGCACAGCCTCCTAGGTAGCGCACTTCACTCACCATTCTGTAATTTGGATTTGGTTTGTCCCCCGCGGAGGAGTATGTTGGAGACTGTCTAATAGTATCATATGATATTTAAGAGCTTTGGTGGTGTGTGTGTGGGGGGGGTAGTTTTCTATCACTATAACAAACCACCTGAGAAGATCAGCTTACAAATAGAAAAGGTTTCCTTTGGCTCCTGATTTTGGAAGTTCCATTCATAATCAGCTAGCTACACTGCTTTTGGAGTTGCAAAATAGAGTGCATGTCAGAGCAAAACTGCTCACCTCGTTCCCATATAACAAAGAAAAGATGGAAGGGTGGAGGTCTCTCACCTCAATGAGAGGACACACCACCACTGAATCTCTAGATCCTTCCTCTTAGAGAGTCCACCACCTCCCATTAGCACCTCCTACAGACCAAGCTTTGGATCTTTGGATCTTTGTGGAGACATTCAAGATACAAGCCATAGTAGGGCTTGGTGGGTATTTCTTATGGGAGCCCTCCACTCACTACGTGGGTTCTTCCTCTTAGAACATTACACCATCTGTAATGAGGTCCTTACTAGGTCCAAGTTGATACAAGGACCATGCTCCAAAACCTGTAGATCCTACAGAACTGGAAGCCACAGGTATTTTGTTATGGTATCAGAGAACAGATTAAAAACGCTGGGCTCATCCAAACTTCTTGACTCTGAGAACTGAAGATGTTTGCTTGAAACAAGATTCTTTTTCTTTCTTTGCCTAGAAGAATTCAAAACAGTCAGCATTTGGTACGTAGTAGGCTCTTGATAAATATTTTCCTGAAAAGATTCTTGAATAATCGAGAGTCTCTGGAGACAGGTCTGCCCATAGTCAACCTGGTGCTTTTCTCTGCTTTCCATGGGGATGGGGAAGAGCAGACATTGGCAGTGACATGTTAGGTCACAATAGGAGAAAAGGACATGCTTCTAAATAATGAGGTAATGAGGGTTTCCTGTAGGGGTGAGGGAAGGGGGTGGAAAAGGCAAGGTGAAAAGAAACCTAGCATTTCTATAATAGAGGCAGAAACCACTTGGTAAGCAGTGGGTGTTTGTCTTCAAGGATGGCAAACCTTTTTCTCTTGGCCATTAAGGAACTCCCCAGCTTGGGGTGCTTCTCCTGAAGCCACTGTCACAGCTCCGTCAGTGGCTTCTCTTCCCTCTGTTAACAAGACACTTCCCCCTTTTCCTCATTTAGTCTGGGTTATGCTGAATCACAGGCTCTCAGGGCCCAGAAGCTTAGTCAGGAAGGGTCCTTGGAAGGTTGTCAAATCTCTTTCTCCTTTTCAAGTAAGAACTCAGAGTATAGTGGATAGATGATAATAAAATAAAGTTTGTTTCTCGGGCCAGTGTTAATGGCTTGTCTTGCTGACCAGAGAGAAAAGGAGTGAAACTTTAATTAATTCAGGCAGGATCAACCATTAGCAACAGGAAACAGGATGTGAATGGAGGCCAGTCAATAATGGGCTCCTGTCTCTCTTTTTCCTTTAAAGTTTCAATCAGTTCTCAGATAACGTGGGATCTGGACCATATTTTAAAGACAGAGTCCAGTTGCCCCAGGATAAAGACAGCAAACGCCTGACCCTCTGATTGTCCCAGAAAGTGGCTGGGGAGACACAGTAGCAGCACAAAGGGGAAAGGCAGATGCAGCGCAAGAGGGATGGCTTTGCAGTCTCTCTGCCTATGCTTTAGCACTGGAATGGGACATGGAAAGACCAGAGACCACAGCTGTCCTCTTAATTCCTTTCTGTAGGAGCTGGAAAGCACTGGCTGTTTTTGAGCCTCATTCCTCCTCCGAAAACAAATAACTATATTGTTGGAAAGAAATGGCACAAGAAAGAAAAGAAACAAAATTCACAAGGTGGCAGGCATCATGGGTAGACCCTACAGAGACTGTCCGGAGGCAGCCTGGAAAACACTGTATTAGTCAGTCATGTGTCAGAGTCTTTGATAAACATTTATTTCTTGCATCATTGTTCACCTTCCTGAAGTATTCTTCATGTTCCTCCTTTTTAAAAAACACACTGTGAGCCCTGTATAAGACATTAGAAAACACATTAAAAACTACGATTCTTATTCAGGAATCAACGGTAGAACTCCTTAACACTTGTAACTACCCAGTAAACATGCGAACAGTTAGTGACCATTTTGCAGTTGTTCTGTTTGAATTAGGATCCAAAACTTGACACATTTGAGATTAAGGTTCTTAGATCTCATAAACAACCCCCCTCCATTACCTAACACAATATTTGCAGGTACAGTTTAGGAAGCTTTGTTATACTCTAAAAAGAGTTTCTGGATGGGGACCAGGCAGAGATCCTGAACTATAATCTCGAAGTTTAAGAGACACAGGGCAGTTCTGGGCTCCCTCTAGGAATCACTCTTGCAAGACTTGATCATGCGTGTTCCTGTATTCTCCTTCTCACCCTGATCATGCATGTTCCTCTATAATTCTTCTTACCCTGGTTATTCATGTTCTTGTCCATTTCTTCTCACCCTGATCATGCATGTTCCTCTACACTCCTTCTCGCCCTGGTCATTCATGTTCTTGTCCATTTCTTCTCATCCTGATCATGCATGTTCCTCTATAATTCTTTTCACCCTGACCAAGCATGTTCCTCTATATGCCTTCTCCCCCAACTACCTTGCTATTCTGAATTCAGACTTCACGTGTTACTAATTTTTTCATTTTAATTTAATTATTTTCTGTACCTAAATCCAGTCATATATTTAAAAGTTGTAGCAATTATATTGTACTAGATGTGCTCCTGTTCATTGAGATATGTATAGCCTAGAATTTAAAAAAAGGGTATCCTA